AACAACGCATCAATATGGGATGCTGGCATTGCAAGCGGTGGCTTAACCCACTGTGCCACAGCGCTGGCCACTTCTGTCGTGTTTTCTGATTGCCAAGGCTTGGACTCACAGAACTGAGGGAAATGATGGGGGTGGAGGGGCATGCAGGTGGCTTCTTGCGTATCCCCCCTCCCTGCTTTGGGTTATTTTGTGTCTCCATTGATGATCACTCTTCTCCATGGAAAGGAGGCCCAGGCCAGGGCCCTGGAACAGGCAAGTAGCTTTGCTAAGCTCAGTAGCTAAAGAGCAAACCAGGGCTGAGTGCTCCTCAAGCCCCATCCCCCGAAGCCACCGAAAGCCCAGAAAAGTTTAGGTTCCGCCTTTGGAGAAAAGGGAAGTGACCACCCCGCCGTCTCTCCCTCGGGTCACGCACCTCGTCCTGCAGCTTGCATTCGAGGGTCCCCACGTCCCCCCGGGTGGCTTCAGGTCCCTTCCCTCTTCTTCCCATTGAAACCTAGCTTGGGTCAGCCACTGCTTTCTGTTCTCCGGGCAGAACAGCACACAGCCCCACTGTTTGGGGCATTCCAGTTGGACGGCGTGGAACAGAGGCCACTCACTCCCGCGGAATCCTGCCATAAGTCAGGTTCATGAGCAAATCTTATGATTCTTGTTTAAGCACTGACTTGTTTGTTTTTAAAGATGTATTTTTTTTTTAATTTTTTTTTTTGACAGGCAGAGTGGACAGTGAGAGAGATACAGAGAGAAAGGTCTTCCTTTGCCATTGGTTCACCCTCCAATGGCCACCGTGGCTGGCGCACCGCGCTGATCCGATGGCAGGAGCCAGGTACTTATCCTGGTCTCCCATGGGGTGCAGGGCCCAAGCACTTGGGCCATCCTCTACTGCACTCCCGGGCCACAGCAGAGAGTTGGCCTGGAAGAGGGGCAACCGGGACAGAATCCGGCGCCCCGACCAGGACTAGAACCCGGTGTGCCAGTGCCGCAGGCAGAGGATTAGCCTAGTGAGCCACGGCGCAAGCTAAAGATGTATTTATTTATTTGAAAGGCAGAGTTACAGAGAGAGCGGGAGAGACTCAGGGGGACAGATCTTCCATCCGATGGTTCACCCCCCAGATGACTGCCAGGGTCAGTGCTAGGCTGGTCCGAAGCCAGGTGCCAGGAGCTTCTTCCGGGTCTCCCAGGTGAGTCACAGCACCCCAGAGACTTGGGCCATCCTCTGCTGCTTTTCCCAGGCCACAGCAGAGAGCTGGATCGGAAGTGGAGCAGCTGGGACTTGAATCTGCGCTCAGACAGGATGCCGGTGTCGCTCCCCCTCTTCGTGGAGGAACGACACTAAGCCCTGCCTAGGCTTCATATCCGAGTCACGGCACCATTATGTCGCTCCCCCTCTTCATGGAGGAACGACACAGGACCCTGCGCTGTTCTTTCGTCTGCTCGGCCCTCCCCGGGTTTGCTGCTGGTTCTTCCCGGGTTGGCTACTATCCCTTCCACCTCCGTGGAAGGGCAGTTCCCCCTGGCCGCATTCCCCACTTCCGCAGGGGAGCGGCACACCGCCGGCCGGCTCTCTCGGGGGCTGCACAGGCGTTCCTTCAGATGTTCCCCTTAGATGTTCCTGGTGCATGCCGTCTCTCTCCTCCTATATAGTCCTCTTCCACCAATCCTAACTCGGCTGCCCACACGCCGAGTATGCTGCTCTCCTCCAATCAGGAGCAAGTCCTACAGTTTATTGGTTGAACTGGAGGCAGCTGTGCAGAAGCTGTTTACTTCTCTCCCAGCGCCATATTGTGGGAGAGCAGATGCATAGAATAAGTCTTAATTCCAGTAACTCAGTCCAGTCCGGGCTGCTCCCCACAGATCCCCCTTTCTTTTTATTTTTTGGCGTTGATACGCGCCTGTCTTCGGTGTCCCGCGGCACACACTCTGCTCTACTTGCTAGAGTTGCCACAGGTTCTTACAAGTCCTATCAATCAGGCAAACCGAATCCGGGTCCTCTCTTCGCCATGTTGTGAGGAGGTTTTTAGGCGCTGATGCGTGCCTGTGTTCGGTGACCTGCGGCTCATACTTTGGTCGAGCCGCCTGCTGGCGCTTACTGCCTTAATCAGGCAGACCGAATCCAAGCCTCCTAATTGCTGTATTGTGGGGAGGCCTTACTGATGTTAATTCATACCTGTCTTCGGTGACCTGCGGCGCGTAAGCTGCTAGCCGCCGCAGGTGCTCATCGCCTCACTAATCGGGCAGACCGAATCCAAGCCTTCTAATTGCAGTATTGTAGGGAGGCCTTTCTATTTCTCTATTTCTCTATCTCCGGGCATTCCTATTTCTCCCATTTTACTTCTGTCTGCCAACATTCCCATTTCTCTCATTTTACTTCTAAACTTCTGTTTCTCTTATCCCTGCGGCTTTCCGGCGCCCGCCCCGAGGCTGCTTCTCGGCGGCTTTCCGGCTCTGAGCCGCTTCAGCCCGCGCCTCTCTCATCTGCGCGGCTTCGCGGCTCTGCGCGGCTCGGCTTTGCGCGCACACTCCGCGGTCTCCGCGCTAGCCCCGCGTTCCCTATCTACTTGTGCCCCGCACGCTCTCTCTGCGCGCGGCAGCCTCCGCGAACCACACAGCGTCAGCTCACGTCTCCGCCACTAGCATTCAATCTAAGTTCCCCGGGCTAGCCTGGCGAATTCAACCCAGCTTACGTCTCCGCCCCACGGTTTGGCTTCCCGTCCTTTGCTCCCCGGGCTAATCAGACGGATCCCAACCAGGCTTACGTTTCCGCTTCTGGTTTTAACTTTTCGCCCCCTATTCCCGGGCTAACTTGAGAATCCCAAAGTGGCTTTCGTTTCTGCCTCGGCCTGCCCCCCGCGGCTTCAATTTCCCTAACATTTTTCTCTACCCGGTATGTTTCCCCAAGCTTTCCTCCAACAATATTCCTCCCTCATTTCTCCTGGCCTCTCCCCACAGTCCGTATCCGAGTCTGTTTGTTCTAGCTTTCACTTTCGCTTTCGACCTTAGAGATTTCTCCCAGCTTCCCCCCGTAGTCCGTAGTCCGTATCTGAGTCTATGCCTAGGCTTTCAATAGTTTCTTCCGGCACCTTTTTCGTCCGGCTTTTCCCTACGCTGTTTGCTAGTCTCTCTCTCTGGTATTTTCCACTTCTTCCCTCCTAGGTTTCCTATCCGAGTCACGGCACCATTATGTCGCTCCCCCTCTTCGTGGAGGAACGACACTAAGCCCTGCCTAGGCTTCATATCCGAGTCACGGCACCATTATGTCGCTCCCCGTCTTCGTGGAGGCATCACAAGGTGGCGACTTTACCCCTTAGGTCACAATGCTGGCCCCTCGTTTGTTTTTAGGGGAGAGGGGTGGCGGTCAGTTACCACATGGGAGCCCATCCTTGGAGCCACAGTGGGTCCTTGCTGGCCTGTATCTGCAACCCTGGTGATTGCAGGCTCAGATTACAGTGGCACTGGGAAAGGGGTGTCCCCACCTTCCCGTCTGCTTTGTGGCCAGCACTTTTCTCTGACCCGCACCTCCCTCTTCCCCAACCTAGCCCTTTTGAATTTTATACAAAGAAAGCATTTTCCTTCGGAGAGGACTTTGTCTTCCTCCCTCTTTTCTCTATTTGGAAGCAACTATGCGGAAGCCTCTTGAAATATTTCAAAGCGGCCCCAGGCATTCGGCCTAGGGGTTGAGACCCTGGCTGGGACGCAGCCTCCTGGAGCGCAGTGCCTGCTTCCAGAACCTGGCTCCACTCCCAGATCCAGTTTCCTGCTTACGTGCTCCCCGGGAGGTGGTGTCCTGGCTTAAGTGGCTGGCTTCTGCCACTCACAGGGGAGATCAGGATGGAGTGCCAGGCTCCTGCTCGGGGCCCTTGCTGGCATTTGGGGAGTGAACCAGCAGATGCGAAAACTCTCTCTCTCTCTCTCTCCCTCTCTCTCTCCCTCTCTCTCTCCCTCTCTCTCTCCCTCTCTCTCTGTGTCTCTATCTATACACACACACACACACACACATCTTCCCACTCCGAAATAAATCCACAAATAGATAAAAATTAAAATTCAATGAATGAATGAAGGGAAGTCGGGATAGTGAAACAATTTTAAAGCAGCTGATTTTGGACCCAGAGGATCAGGCATTACAGAGCCGTGCATGGAGGTGGATCCCGGGAGGACTTCCCCGGGGGAAGCCTGCAGGAGTGGCTCCTCCGTCCCCGAGTCAGTCCCGGAGTCCACAGAGCAAAGGCCGTGAAGGGACTTGCTAGACGGGCAAGAGGACTGCCGGGGAAAACCCCTGGGAGGGAAGGTGGGGAGGAGGCTGGAGAGGTGTGGGACTGCAACAGGGCTGACCCCTAGGGAGAGGAAGGCCGGAGGGTGGGCGGGGTGCACGATGGGCAGGGAGGGCAGGCTTCCCCAGAGCCAGCAGGGAAGCCTGAGCCTCAGCGACAGGCCAGGAGTGGGTGGGGGCACCCTGGTTAGGACTGGCGGGGCGGCCTGGGGGCAGGGTGGCCTCTGTGCAGTCCGGGATGCACTCGCAGCCTGGCAGCGAGGCCCGTGTCGCCTACTCTCCTGCAGGCTGGGAGGTGTGTTCCCATGGCGGCTGCAGTCCCACTGAGGAGCACCCTGGGCGGCACCTCTTCCCTCCTCCTGAGCCCTCTGGCGATAGCTCAGACACGCAAGTCCGAGGCGCGGCTGCTGGGGCGCTGCGGGTTAAGCCACCTCTTGGGATACCGCTTCCTGTATCAGAGTAACTGCATAGTTCCACATCTGCTTCTGCTGCGGCTCCCTGCTGATGCACACCCTGGGGGGCAGCAGGTGATGTCTCCAGCACTCGGGTCCCTGCCGCCCACGTGGGAGACCTGGCTGGAGCCCCCAGCTCCTGGCTCTGCCCCGGGCAGGTCTTACCTGTGTGGCAGGTGCCAGATCTTCATTTCCTTTCATGGCGGGACAGTGTACTTGTCCATTCACCTGTTGATGACAATTTGGGATGTTGCCAACTCAAAGGCAACATTGTGAATAACGCTGGATACTCAAGTCCAAGTGTAAGTATTTGCTGGAGGCCCTACTTCAGTTCTTTTGTGTCTATACTTACACATGGCATTGCTGGGGCTTTTGGTAACTGTACCTTTAGCTTTTTAAGGATCTTCCACGCTTTTTCCCAGGGGGGTTGTACTATCCTCCACTCCCACTAGCAGCGTGCAAAGATCTCAAGTTCTTTCTACCCTCGCATTTACCCCGGGGCGTCAGTCACAGGATAAGGAAGTTGCATTCATCTGAGAAAATCTCCTCTTTCGAATTTCAACTTTCTCTTTTCGCGGACAGCCCACACGAACATGAGTAACAGGAAGGACGTGAAATTCCACCAACTTCCAGATACCGTCATGAGCCACTACCCTGTCAGCCTCTGTTTAAATGTTCGCCTCCCAGGGCTTCGGAAGCTTCCAGAAGAAGCAGTCACCGGCTCTGCTCTCCGAGCAGCAGAAGATGAGTGACTGCGAGTTTGGCTATGTGCACACACTGGCTCAGGACTATCTGCTGTACATCCTGAAGACGCCACAGCCTGGACTGGGACCGAGCAAAACGTCCAGGGTGCTGCAGAACGTCACCTTCTCCATCCAGCAAGAAGTGGAAGAGGCTCTGCAACCGTACCTGCACAATGTGCCTGTCGCGTCCGTCGAGACTGCCAGGACAATTTTCAACCAAGTGATGGAGAAAGAGTTTGAGGATGGTGTGATCAACTGGGGCAGGATTGTGACCATATTTGCATTCGAAGGGGTCCTGGCCAAGAAGCTCCTCCAGGAGCAGGCTGTTCCGGATGTGGACACGTTCAAGTCCATCCCTTATTTTGTGGCTGAGTTCATAACGAGGAGGATGGGAGAATGGATAAGGCAAAACGGAGGCTGGGTATGTGTGGCGGAAAGCTTCGCTGTTGTCCTGTGCTATGAAATGGGTATTGGGAGCTGCCCTGCTCTTTCAAATAATACCACCACAAACCATCTGTCTACCTAAGGCTCTGCATTCCTTGGCTAATTTGCATTTAGAGGTATTTTTTTTTCCTATTTTTTAAAATGGAAAGAAAAACCTCTCTGGCTGACTTCCAATGAGTCCTAGAACTTTATAGCGCCAAGATATTTGAGTTTTTAGTCTGTACAGTCTCGGTGACAGCAGTGAGGTCTGGGCACTGACACAGTGCCTTTCCCAGGCATCTTGACATTCTGCACCAGAGACACTGTCACCCAGCACTTAGCTTTTGCTAGGTGGTCGTGATAGAGTTAGTACAGACGGAGCTGGTGTTAGGTTTAGGTACTTCTGAACTGAGAGAAGACAGGGGTAGAGTTTTGTAAGTTCATTGCCTACAAAGATAATTCTAAGTGTTCTAATTCGACAAATTCTGGGCTGTTAAAGCTTGTTGAAAACAAATAATAGACTGCATCACTGACAAGAACCTTTATTCAAGAAGTTTCCAGTAAAGTCTTTATAATTAGTGCCTCCAAAGCCGAGACTGTGTAAGGGCCTGTACTGGGACTCATTTTGGAAAGAAACCTTTCACAGCTGGATAGGTATGTTTTCTTTCGTGTCCCAGTAGACACAAAATATTTGTTGATTTTAAATCTTTATTTTAATATTTTTAAAGGATTATTTATTTCAAAGGCAAAGTGAGTGAGAGAGAGAGATTCACAAAGGAAGGGAGAGAGAGAGAGAGAGAGAGAGAATCTTCCATCTCTGGTTCACTCCCCAAATGTTCACAATAGCCTGGGCTGGGCCAGGTCAAAGCCAGGAGCCCAGAACTCAATCCAGTCTCCCACAGGGGTAGCAGGGGCCCATGAATTGGGCTATCATCTACTGCCTCCCAGGTACATTAGCAGGAAGCCAGATTAGAAGTGGAGGATCTGGGGCTGGCACTGTGGCACAGTGGGTAAAGCTGCAGCCTGCAGTGCCGGCATCCATTATGGGCACCAGTTTGAGTCCCGGCTGCTCCACTTCCGGCAGCTCTCTGCTATGGCCTGGGAAAGCAGTAGATGGCCCAAGTGCTTGGGCCCTTGCACCCGTGTGGGAGACCTAGAGGAAGCTCCTGGCTCCTGGCTTCGGATAGGCACAGCTCCGGCTGTTGCGGCCAACTGGGGAGTGAACCAGTGGATGGAAGATGTCTCTCTTTCTCTCTCTCTCTCTCCCTCCCTCTCCTTCTCTCTCTATGTAACTCTGACTTTCAAATAAAATAAATAATTATTTAAAAAAATAAAAAAGAAGCGGAGGATCTGAGACTTGAACCAGCAATCTGACGTGGAATGCAGATGTCCCAAGTGGCAGCTTAATCTGCTGTGCCATGATGCTGTCCCTTGATATTTATTTCCTAAAAGCATTTGTGTCCCCATGGGTCTTCTTGCCAACCCCCAATCCTGGATTTACCTCTCCTGAGAGACAACCACTGTTATCAATTATCTTCCAAGCAAACTGCATTTACTGACTCTCTCTATAGAAATTATACAGAGCACTTGTTGGCAAAATTTTTTTCTCTATAAATAAAAATAGTACATATTACTTATTCTGCAAAATTTTTTTTCACTCGAGGGTATATAAAATTTGAGGGTACGTCAATAAATTCATGGAGAAGGGGGGTTAAAAAGCAGTTTACTCGGTGCAAAGATTTTGTGAAAGCCACGTGCAGTTTTTTCATCTCGTGACCTTTCTGGTGACCCCTTGGAGACGCGGGTTTCACCACTTACCTGCATCAGAATGAACTTCCTTGTGACTTCTATGTTGCACGACATTTCGGAGTTCCCATGTGGAGTTCAGAGTGCCCCGTATGTGAGTGCTAGGGAATCGCTGGCCATTCACGGCTGATGGACATCTAGGTTCTTTCCAGGCTTGCCCTCAGCAACAATGCTTCGTTGACTACTTTACCTGTCTCTCTCCCCTTGTGCGTGTGGGTGTTGCGTTAATGGAATTGCTAGGTCATGGTGTATGTACATTTTCTCGTCTACTGGACTGTTGCCCTGAGCAGAGTGTCTTGCCTGCAAAGTCTGTTTCATCGGCAGCTCGTCAGAATAGCCAGCGCTTCCGCCTCCCCAAGACGGTTAACATCTGGTTACATTTGGGTGGGGCGGGTGTTTGGCACAGTGGTTAAGATGCCACTTGGACACCTGAATCCCATATTGGAGCGCCTGGGTTCAGTTCAAGGCCTGGCTTTGCTCCCTATTCCAGCTTCCTACCAGTGTGCACCCTGGGAGGCCGCAGGTGATGGTTCAAGCGGTTGGGGCCCTGCCACCCGTGTGGAAGACCTGGATTGAGTTTCTGGCTCCTGTTTTCAGCTGCTGTGGGTATTTGGGGAATAAACCAGTGGATGAGAGATCTCTGCTTCTCTCTCTTTATGCCTTTCAAATAATACATAAATAAGTAAAAAAAATTTAAAATATTTAGTTCATCTTGTTTTAATTCCTGTTTCCTTGATTACTAGTAAGGTTAACCAGCTTGTCATGTTTCCTCGCCATTTGATATTCTTATTCCGGCTGTTGCCTGTCAGTCTTTTGCTCATTTTCTTACTAAATTGTATTTTCTTAGTGATTTATAGGGAATTTCTGAATATTCTGGATACAGATCATTTTTATGTATGCGGCAGGTATATTCTAATTTGCAAATTACCTTTTAAAGCTACAGCTGTCTTCAGTCATGTAAACGTTTAAAAGTTTGATGCAATCACATTTATTAATCTTTCTCTTGATGCCTTTGCCGTATGTCTAAGGCCTTCCTGTTAGGCCTGACTGCAATCACTCCCCTTTCCCGGTCACTTTCTTCTTCCTGAACTCTTAGCTCTGACTTGGGGCGGGGGCGGGGGCGGGGAAAGCTTGTGAGGAGTTTGGCTCTGTTTTCTTCCGGTTGGTGGCGGGAAAGCTATGCTGAAGGGCGGATGGAAAGTTCAGCTGCACCGTGTAGGTTTCCAGTGACGGCAAAAATTCTCCAGCACAGAGGCCCACGGAAGAGCCTGGGGGAAAACCCCAGTTTGCAAGGTCTATGGGCTTGGTCTGCCTCCCCGGTGCCTTGGAACACGGGTGCTGCCAATTATAACTCATTCACAAGAAGTGTTGTGAGCTTCTGGGACTGCTAAGTCATGAGGGAGGGGTGTAACAGTGCGGTGGAGAATTCCTGGAAGTGGGCTCGTCTCGTGGAGATGGCTCAGGAGCATGTGTGAGCATGGAGTACGGCAGGACGCACTTCCCAGGGGAACACTCTCGGATGTCATGTCTAAGCAATCTCGTTGCGCCATCTGTGGCTCACAGGAGACGCTGATCGTGTTGATGACAGCGTGCTGGCCTGGCAACCTGACAGCTGCTTTTCATGATGACTTTGACAGATCTGCACAAGAGTGTGTTTCCGGGGGGGAGGGGAGGGGATGCACCATCACCTGCCCAGGCCGGGAGAATCAGGAGGCCCACAAGAAGAGGGGCAGAGTGGAAGGGGCCTTTCACGGTTTTATCCAGACACGAGCGCTAACTTCTCATGTTCTACTCTTCTGAGAAAACTCAAGAAATCAGTGATCATGAAAGACTTTATGGAAAGTTTCTGATCAGTAATGTAGGATGGGGGTTGGGCTGGCCAGTAAGATGCTGGTCAGGATGCCCTTGTCCCAGATCGCAGGACCTGTCCTGACTCCAGCTTCCTGCTAATGCAGACCCTGGGAGGCAGCCAGGCTCAAGTACTTGGGTCTCTGCCACCATGTGGGAGACCTGGATTACTTACAGCTCCTGATTTCAGCCGGGGGCCAGCCCCACTGTTGTAGGCTTTTGGGGAAGTAAGCGAGCAAATGGGAACTGTCTGTCTGTGTCTGTTTCTGTCTCTGTCTCAAAAAAAAAAAAAAAAAAAAAAAAAAAAAAAGGAAGGTGGTGTGTGAGCACTCAGCCAGACAGACCTGAGTTCCTCCAGTGTGTACCACCTGTGTGACTTGAAGAAATTGGCTGCCTTCTCCAAGCCTTGTTTTCTTATCTGTAAAACCAGCAGAGGATTGCAACTTACCTCCTGGGACCGGCACAGGAATCTAATCAGTTAATAGATATAAAGCCCCCAGGTCAGTTCTTGCAATTGAGCACACAATACAGGTCTGGGGTTATTGTTCCTATTAGTGGGTGTATGGCCTAGCTTCCCCTGAGAGGTTCTGATTAAAGGTGGCCAACTGCAGTTAGTTATTAGTCATCGCGAATGGTGTATCAATAATGGCACTCACTCCTAATCTCATACCGTATTCTCTCTCTCATTTTTGCCTCCTTCTTTCCTTCCCTCCTTCCTTTTGCAGCTTCTCATTTTTTTTCCTTCCTCTCCCATATTTACTATCATTTATCCCTGTCCCCTCTGTCAGTTGGAAGTGCTGAAATCGGTGAAGGTGCAGTTTCCATACGTTTCTCACTGGAGAGCTAGGGTGTTTATTTTGGTTTTGGGCGCCTTTAGCATGCACAAGGAAAGACTGGTTCCTAGAAGCTTCGGGAATGTGCTTGAGACGAAACCTGCTGCAGCCCTCGGGATTGTCCTCTCTCGAGTCCGGTGGCTTTCCTGTGCTAGTGGAGTGGAAAGAACAGGTGGCCCTTTGCCGCAGGCAAGAGACACCACGTCAACTCAGTACATCCTGTGCCCCTCAGACTTAGCACAGAGCCTGTGGCACAGAAGGTCCTCGACCCATATTTGTGAATGGAACAATTGAATGAATTAACACTAAGCCTGGAGGTTTGAATCCTGCTCCTCCATTCGTGAGAGGTGCAGCCTTGGATAAGTCGCTGAAGTACCCTGACATTCAGATTCCTGCTATATAATGTGTAGAACAAGATGATGTGATACAATATGATAATATATATTATATACAGAATATATAACGATGACCACAGTAGCTCCCTTATGAGGATTAAAAGAGTTTTTTAAAATTAATTTATTTATTTGAAAGGCAGACTTATGGAGACAGAGACAAAGACAGAGAGAGAGAGAGAGAGAGAGAGAGAGAGAGACAGATCTTCCATCCACTGGCTCACTCCCCCAGATGGCCATAATAGCCAATATTGGGCCAGGCAGAAGACAGGAACCTGGAACTCCATCTCAGTTTCCCACGTAAGTGCAGGGGCCCACGTACATGGCCATCTTCTGCTGCTTTCCCAGGTGCATTATCAGGGAGCTGGACTGAAGTGGAACAGCTGGGACTCGAATCAGCCTATGGGATGCCAGCATTGCAGGTGGCGGCTTAACCTGTTGAGCCACACGCTGGCCCCTAGAAGGCATTTTTGTAGAAGTGCTTTGTAAACTGTCAAATGCTATTCAACTGTGAGGGTTATATGGGGGAATTCTAAGAGATTTAAATATATAGTTCTTAAAAAACTATTCTAATTCCCAAAGAAAGCCCCCTTTGAAAGTAAGAGAGTACAGTCAGAGTTGGTGCTTTCCCAGTAGCCCACATGTTCAAAGCCTTTCTCCTTCTTGGTCTAATCTATTTGAGGCCACATAACCAGGTGCAGAGACCTTCAGTTTGTGAACTGTGTGTTTGGTTTGTTCATGTAGCAGTGAGGAACCCAATCTTAAGTGTTGGTTCAGGCCTTTGACTAAATACGCTTATTTATTTATCTAAGTCCATTCAATAAGTCTTCTTATAGTCATTTTGTGTTTTAGCCTAGATTTTGAAATCGTTTACTGAAAAGCAAAGTGAAACCTATTTCAAGCAATGCAGAAATGCAGGCCCTGACAGAGGTGTTAGACAAAGCCCCTTGCCCCTGGGAGTCCTCCCGGAAAGTTCTCCAGCCGTGAGCCCCAGCCCCGACTCCTCGCCCTCGGGCCCACGTGCAGTGCGTCAGCTCGTCCGGCTGGCCGCACCTGTGACATGCAGTCTGTCCAGTGCCTCAGGGCCCCCCTCTCTCACCTGACTCCATCCGTAGCCTCTTAGCAGCCTCCCTGCTTCCAGCCTTCACCTGCTATGTCTGTCCTCCTCCATGGAACAGCAGGCGTGGTATTTATCATACACTTACTTACTTATTTAAAAACTTTAATTATATCGATTTATTTGAAAGGCAGAGAGGGAGATCTTCCATTCACTGGTTTACTCCCCAAACACCCGCAAAAACTCAGAATGGTCAGGGTGGTTGCTCGGAGCCGGGAGACTGAGCTAGGTCTCCCATGTGGGTGGCAGGGCTCACGTGCTTGGGTTCTTAGCAGGAGGCTGTGATTCGGAGTGGAGTTGAGACTCGAACCCAGGCACTCCCACATGGGATGCAGGATTCTCAACAGCGTCTCAGCCATGCACAAACACCCCCAGAGTGACAGTTTAATAATTTGAATTAGATCCTGTCCAAGATCAGAGCCGGCGCTGTGGCTCACTAGGCTAATCCTCCGCCTTGCGGCTCCGGCACACCGGGTTCTAGTCCCGGTCGGGGCGCCGGATTCTGTCCCGGTTGCCCCTCTTCCAGGCCAGCTCTCTGCTGTGGCCAGGGAGTGCAGTGGAGGATGGCCCAAGTGCTTGGGCCCTGCACCCCATGGGAGACCAGGAGAAGCACCTGGCTCCTGGCTTCGGATCAGCGCGGTGCGCCGGCCGCAGTGGCCATTGGAGGGTGAACCAACAGCAAAGGAAGACCTTTCTCTCTGTCTCTCTCTCTCACTGTCTACTCTGTCTGTCAAAAAAAAAAAAAAAAAAAAAAAAAATCCTGTCCAAGATCAAAGCCCTTCTCTCTGGTGACAAGAAGGCAAAGTCCTGACTGCTGGACTCTGGTCTCTAACGACCTCTCACGCACCACGCCCTCGGGGCATCTGCGCTGGCTCGGGCAGGTCAGGTCTCTGTGGTCCTCGGAGGAGTCCTCCTGGAGCCCCCTTGACAGGCCCACCGCCCCCCTGTCCCCGTACCCCGCCGTGTGTCCTTCATAACAGTTGGCACAGCTGACGTCACGCCGTGTGCTTTCTGGCCTCTTTGTTTATTGAGGGTTGCAGCGATGAGGACGGGAGCTTAGTGAGGGCAGGGATGCTGCGTGGCTCACCCCTGTCTCCCCTGCCTCAGGTGGGACCTGGCAGGTGGCCAGTGCCCACTATTTCCTGAATGGGTAGTGAACGCTCCGTAGAGAAGGGGACAGGAGATCACGGCTTTGCCTACATTGTCAAAAAAAAAAAAAGAAACAAAACAATCCCTGAGTGCTTGTTTTTCTTAGGGATAAGGACGAAAATAAATGGGCTGGTTCAATTTTTCTGGCTGTCTAACAAAATTCCCCGGTAAGAAGGGTTGGGTGGCGATTTGTAAAAAAAGAGGAAAGGGGCTCAGCTTCTTTCTTTAATAACTAACCCGCTCACACTAACAGTCTTATCCACTTCTGGGGGCAGTGCCCACTGTGGCCTGATTACCTCTTTTTTTTTTTTTTTTGACAGGCAGAGTGGACAGTGAGAGAGACAGAGAGAAAGGTCTTCCTTTGCCGTTGGTTCACCCTCCAATGGCTCCTTCAGATCAGCCGGCGCACCGCGCTGATCAGATGGCAGGAGCCAGGTGCTTCTCCTGGTCTCCTGTGGGGTGCAGGGCCCAAGCACTTGGGCCATCCTCCACTGCACTCCCTGGCCACAGCAGAGAGCTGGCCTGGAAGAGGGGCAACCGGGACAGAATCCGGCACCCCAGCCAGGACTAGAACCCGGTGTACGGGTGCTGCAAGGCGGAGGATTAGCCTAGTGAGCCGCGGCACCGGCCCTGATTACCTCTTAATACCTTCATGAGGGCAATTCAAGTTCAACAGGAGCGTTGGAGGGGACACCTGTCCACAGCAGTGCCGTAAAGCCACCTGAGCCTTAGCTTTCTTGAAACCAAGGTGGCTGAAGTTAATGCACTGTCACCCTTCCCAGAAAGAATCACACCTGGGCATACCTTCTTTCCTGCTGCATGCCTGAAGGCACCCTGCATTCTTACTTGTATGTCTATTTTATATCTATTACCTTTATTTGCATACATACACAGAATATCATTAAAGGAAAATTTTAAATTAAACAATTTTATTTGAGGGGTCGGCTGTGGCGTAGTGGGTAAAGCCACCACCTGCAGTGCTGGCATCCCATATGGGCGCTGCTTTGAGACCCAGCTATCCCACTTCCGATCCAGCTCTCTGCTATGGCCTGGGAAAGCAGTAGAAGATGGCCCAAATGCTTGGACCCCTGCACCCACGGGGGAGACTGGGAAGAAGCTCCTGGCTGCTGGCTTCAGATCGGCATGGCTCCGGCTGTCGCGGCCAACTGGGGAGTGAACCAGTGGATGGAAGACCTCTCTCTCTCTGCCTCTCCTTCTCTATGTAACTCTGACTTTCAAGTAAATAAATTAAAAAAATTTTATTTGAAAACCAGAAATAGAGATAGAAGAGAGAGAGAGAGAGAGAGACATCTTCCATTTACTGGTTCCCTCCCCAATGCCCACACCAGCCAAGGATAAGGCCAGGCTGAAGCCAGGAGCCTGGAACTCCATCCAGGTCTCCCACATGGTGGCACTCGGGCCCTCTTCTGCTGCTTTCCCAGGTGCATTAGCAGGGAGCTGGATCAGAAGCAGAGCAGCCAGGACTCTAACTGGCACTCGTACAGGATGCTGGCACTGCAGATGGTTCCTTAACCTGCTGCTCCATAACACCGGTCCCTATTTCTTTTTACATTTTAAAATATGGCTGCAAAAATATGAAAGTTATACACATGGCTCACACCTCTCTCAGTTAGTGCTGCTGTAGAGGACACCAGACCTGGAAGCAGGGCACAAAAATGAGGGTGAACAGAGTACAAGGAGTAAAAGAACAGAGCGGGTTATTTGCAGTATATATTTTTATGTATATGGAAGGCAGAGAGAGAGAATCTTCTACCTGCTGGTTCACTCCTCAAATGCTTCTAACAGCCAAGGCTGGACCAACCTGAAGCCAGGGGCCAGGTACTTCATTCTGGTCTCCCAAGTGGGTGGCTTGAACCCAGGTGCTTGAGCCATCATCTGTTGTCTTCCACAGGGCACATTAGCAGGAAGCTGAAACCAGAGGTGGAGCTGGGACTCGAACCCATGCACTCTGATATGGAATGTAGTCACCCTAAGTGGCATCTTAAACCCTGTGCCAAACACTTGCCCTATTTACATCATTTAAAATGAAGGTTCTTGGCCGGCGCCGTGGCTCAATAGGGTAATCCTCCACCTAGTGGCGCCGGCACACCGGGTTCTAGTCCCGGTCGGGGCGCCGGATTCTGTCCCGGTTGCCCCTCTTCCAGGCCAGCTCTCTGCTGTGGCCCGGGAATGCAGTGGAGGATGGCCCAAGTACTTGGGCCCTGTACCCCATGGGAGACCAGGAGAAGCACCTGGCTCCTGGCTTCGGATCAGTGCGGTACACCGGCTGCAGCGCACCGGCTGCGGTGGCCATTGGAGGGTGAACCAACGGTAAAAGGGAGACCTTTCTCTCTGTCTCTCTCTCACTGTCCACTCTGCCTGTCAAAAAAAAAAAAAAAATGAAGGTTCTTTGCTTTTTATGCTGGCACATGTAATCTCCACTCATTCTAAAGCTGTTACATTTGCTCTCTTCCAGGAAAATGGATTTGTAAAGAAGTTTGAACATAATTCTGGTTGGAAGATTTTTCTGGAAGTTACAAAACAGATCTGTGTGATACTGTCATTGCTGAAGAAGTACTGCTGACCCAAAGGGACACTCCGTGTTTTAACACCTGCCCGATTTCTCGGACCCTTATGAGAACTCTTGCGGAGCTGGCACTGTGGTGCAGAGGGTTAAGCCTCCACCTGCAGTGCCAGCATCCTGTATGGGCACTGGTTTGAGTCCCTGCTGCTCCACTTCGAATCCAGCTCCCTGCTAATGGCCTGGGATAAGCAGTGGAGGATGGCCCAAGTGTTTGGATCCCTGCACCCATGAGGGAGACCAGGATGACCCAACTGGCTCCTGGCTTTGGTCTGGCCCAGCCCCAGCCATTGTGGCCATTTTGGGAGTGAACAAGCAGATGGAAAATCTCTCTCTCTTTCTCCGTTTCTCTATGTATCTCTGCCTTTCAAATAAATAAATATTTGAAAAAAGGAAAAAAAAAAAAAGAAAAAAAAGACCTTTTGCTGACACAAACTCTACACAAACAACTTTGATGGTGCAACTTAAAGCTGCACCAATTTGTCTTTACGCATAATTTACATCTTAGTTTTCTGGGTCTGCCTAGAAAGTGCAGAGCTCAATACAGGAAACAGGTACTGAGCTAGAGAGTGATAACCAGGAAGGCAGAGTCTGGAGGGGATGCCCGTGTCCCCAGAGTCATTCCCCGTGCCACTAGGCTTAGGCTGCACAGTGGGTAAGAGCCACTCCCCCTCCTCCTGGCCTCGTGCGTTCTCGGTCCCCGGTGCTCCTGGGTGCTTAGAGGTTTCCACTGATGCCCTGCCCTCTGCCAGCCTTCACGCTCAGGTCCACCATTTGGATTTGTTGGATATGGCAACTAGATGTGCAGCCCTGGAGCTCAGAAAATGATCCCCCAAAGTGAAGACCGCAGAAGCGAAGCTTCTCCCTGATCCTCTCCTGCCCTCTTGTCTTCCACCCTCATTTCCCCCCAAGACAAGCCACAGAAATTAGAATTCTTCGCCAAGGTGAGTCACCGAAATCAACATCTGGGCTGGGCATTTGGCAGAATGGTCAAGATCTTGCTTGGGACACCTGCCTCCCGAATCAGGGTGCCTGGCTCAAGTCTCTGCTCTGCTTCCTCTCCAGATTCCTGCCAATGCACACCTTGGGAGGCAGCAGGTGATGGCTCAAGTGGTTGGGTGCCTGCCACCCACATAGGGGACCTGGACTGAGTTCTGGGCTCCCAGCTTTGTCCTGGCCTAGCCTTGGCTGATCTGGTCATTTGGGAAGTGAACCAGTAGATGGGAATCCTCTCTGCCTTCCAAATAAAATGAAACCAAATAAATAAAAAATGTAAAAAAGAGGCCAGAACATCTTTTCCCCAAGGTAGTCATAAAACCTGAAAATATTACTCTACTTCCCCTGATCTGTGTAAGAGCTGAATGTAAAGAAACTACTTTTTTTTTTAAGATTTATTTTTTATTTCACAAGCAGAACTACAGACAGAGAGAGGGAAAGACAAAGAGGTAGGTCTTCTGTCTGCTAGTTCGTTCCCCCAGATGGCCGTAACGGCTGGAGCTGGGCCGATTGGGAGCCAAGAGCTTCTGCTGAGTCTCCCACGGGGGTGCGCTTGGGATATCTTCCGCTGTCTTTCCAGCCACACTAGCAGGGAGCTAGATTGGAAGAGCAGCAGCCAGGACAGGAACCGGGGCCCATATGGGATGTTGGTACCGCAGGCGGGGGCTTAACCTAATGTCACAGTGCCAGCCCCTGACTACTTTGCTTGTAAGCCACAGGGCTCCCCTTCCAGAAGGGGCCTTGCCCATGCGCAGGAGGAAGCAAAGCTATACGAGAGTCACGAAGGATCTGAACAGACCAGAATTACTGGGCTGCCGCCTCCCTCAGTCTGTCAGTGTGAGATTACACTCTCTGTTCAATCAGACTGCTTCATGGAGCATGCGCAGCAAGGTGATGTTCACCCCGGTCTCTGGGTCCTCACTCTGAAGGCTGTCCTGTCATCGTAAGGCTACGACCCGACACGCCTGTTATGCGTTTCCCTCGTTAGCCTGTCTTTCGAGATAGGGATGGCAGTCATGCTCCTCCAACATGAAAGGGCTCGCTGTCTTTTTCTTTTTCTTTTCTTTTTTTTTTTTTAAACTTTTATTTAATGAATATAAATTTCCAAAGTACGACTTATGGATTACAATGGCTTCCCCCGATACCGTCCCTCCCACCCACAACCCTCCCCTTTCCCACTCCCTCTCCCCTTCCATTCACATCAAGATTCATTTTCGATTATCTTAATATACAGAAGATCAGCTTAGTATACATTAAGTATGGATTTCAACAGTTTGCTCCCACACAGAAACATAAAGTGAAAAATAATAGATGATTTTTTTTAAATGATGATGAAATCAGAGCAGACCTATTGTCATGTTTAATCCCAGTGAGAGTCAAGTTGGGAATTGATAATTTCTTTCTTTTTTTTTTTTACAGAGGATCAGTTTAGTATGCATTAAGTAAGGATTTCAACAGGTTGCACCCCCATAGAAACACAAAGTGAAATATATTGTTTGAGTACTCGTTATAGCATTAAATCTCAAGCACAGCACATTAAGGATAGA